TCCCCGGTAGCAAGTCAATCCCTGAGTCGCTGAAGTCACCTAGGGTTAAGTCCATTAGCACATCTATGATGAAGTTGAATAGAAAAGGAGATAATGGGCATCCTTGACGGACACCACTGGTCGTCATCAGTTCAGATGACAGCTCGCCGTAAGCCCTCACCTGGCTGTATGAGTACGAGTAGAGTGCCTTAATCAGTGCAATATATTTTCTCGGAATTCCCTTTACAGCCAAGCATCTCCAGAGAACTTCCCGATCGACAGAGTCGAATGCTGCCTTTAGGTCAAGAAATATAATGACTGTTGGACGCCGGTAGGAATTCCTATGTTCTAGAATCTGTCGGAGGGTGAAGATATGATCAATACACCCTCTTCCTGGTCTAAAGCCTGCCTGGCTCTCTCGTGTTTGTGCTTCCCGAGCACCACTCAGTCTACGCATGATTATTGAGCCCCGACCGATCCGGCATGATATTCTGTAAATTTGTATGTGTCATAGTGTTGGATTGGGTAGCTGCTTTTTGTTTAACCGCTATCCAAACAACCTTTCTGGCATGGTAGGACGTCAAGAGGCATACGTCTCAGCGAGTATAGCTTGATTAGGTCATTGCGGTGTTCAAGCCCGACCACCACGTCAAGGTAGCTGCTTTCGGTCGGGTCTGCGATCTCTATCTCAAGTTAAGTGATTTAATAAGGTAAGTAATGTTGACGTTAGGCGTAGAGTGTTGAGCAAACAGGGAGAAGCAATTGACGAGGCTATAAAGTCACACAGATTGAGATGGCTAGGTCACACGCTGCTCATGCCTAACCATCGCCTCCCCCGACGGGCATTATTAGCTGACATAGATGGGTGCAGGTTGGAAAACAGTAAGTGGTGGCCAAACAAAAATATGGCATGGCTTCAATCCATGAAATCCTTGACAGTTAAACTCAGTCAGGTAGGGAGATGAAGACTTCCGGGTTGGGGCCCTCGGGACTGACTCTAGGAGTCAATGGCTGGAGTCATGAGGTGACATGGCTCAAAATCGTTGTCAGTGGCCAGCGCAGATGTATTCAGTCTCTGTAATCTTTCATATTCCTTTCTACCATTACCCATTCTGTTTCACTCTTATACTTGTCAGACTGTATTGATTCTCTTCACTCCTCATCTTCTTGTCTACCTTTGTGTGCTATTTGGAACGTGGCAACTCGAAGTGGCGCACTTCAGTGCCAGACAGACAGATACATGCATTGACATAATTTACCTCGTTGGACAGTTTCCGATTCGTTTATGTTATAGCTTAAATTCCTGAGGTTTTTACAATTTGATATAGCACACATTTTGGCGAATAAAGATTGTTGAGGATGCTGTTGGTGCTGTCGGTCGTCGTCATCGTTCTTTCCAATCTGACTTTTATGCCTATCTCAGTGTGGCAGGATATTTTCAAGTGATCACACCTGGTCATACTGTCATGTCGGGAGGTGCATGCATTCTAGTCAAGTTAGACGACACTCCCTCATAACAATTACAACTTGTTACTATCATCAGTGTATTGATGTCGCCAAACAAGTGAATGACGGCAATTATGACTAAAAAAAGGTAAAATGTGATCGTCCGTGGCACAACCACGCATGTGGTTCAGGGCTCAATCCCCAGCCGACGCACTCCTCCTTTACCTCTCTAAGCCAGCAGTAAAAGTGGTAAAGACGGAAGGTTGGGCATGAGGCTGGCTAGCAACCTCATTCCGTAAAAATAAACACCACTGCTACCGAAACTTCAAGCCTCTAGCTTGAAGGTGCCCTGTGTTCCATTGGGAACGTGAAGGAATAAAATAAACAAGAAATAAAGAAATAAAAAGCTCATGAGTATTATAGTCAGATGAAGTTGAAATTTAATATAACTGTTACACACACAGTAGACTCGCAAATCCGCTAGTTAGGAAGTTCATTAGCCCAAAAGACCATTACCAAAACTACTACTGGATTATATTGTATTGACTGTCATACCATATTTGGTGCCGAGTGACTTATGAAAATAGATCCATCACACTTGGAGAAATTGATGGAGCGGCAGCATAAGATGATGAAATTGCTAACTGCTTTGCGCACATCATCGCCAGCTGACGAAAACGTCGGTGGCAGCATACAGGAATTTCGCTATGACTCAGACGCCAGAATAATGTTCGACACGTGGTTTCGTAGATACTAAGATCTATTTAGAGAAGATTTTGCAAACAAAGACGATGAATGGAAGGTATGACTGTTACTTCCGAAGTTGGGAGCGGATAGAAGTAGAGAAATATTGCAATCGAATCTTGCATCCGAAACCGGGTGATACAAACGTTCGATGAGACAGTTTGTCATCAATTTGGTGACCACAGACTGCTGTTCAATATACGTTGGCATCGTATGAAGTTGGTGGCGCTGAACGGGAATGACAATATCCACACGCAGCTAGGTATACCCAACACCACCTGTGAACGATTCAAGCTGATATCTCTAACAGCACACCGATTTAAAGCTTTAGTCTTCATTTGAGGATTACATTCCCTGAAGTTTGCCGAAGTACGAACACGTCTGTTGAACAGACTAGAATAAGATCCAAAAAAGGACTCTGAAAGACATTGGAAACGGATGTCAGCGATTAACCAACCTTCACAAAGATAACGCTTTGATTCAGTCTAGCAGTTAAAGTACAGCAGAAGCGCCTACAGTACCGTCGAAGTCGAGAACCCACAGCATGCTGGAACTGAAGCGCTTGACACTATGTGGATTCTCGCCCATCTAAACATCATAAATGCCAGCGCGTTGCTACAAGACTGACCATAAAGATGGGTATTATAAGCAAAATAATAACTGACAGTTGTATTATACATCAAGAATTGGCAGACCTTGGAGTCCAGAGTTTATTGGATTGTGTCTGAGTGGCTGAGGAATGGTCATAGGCGAGCTGAATACAATGAGTGTATACAGTAGACGCCAACCCCCCCCCCCCAGTGGACCTGAATTTGATATTAGTTCGTAATTCAACTTAAAATTAATTAAATCCCTGCAAAGAAACCCTGACTGTCTGTTTTAGACATAGAACTTTGCACAGACGTCCACCAGTTCAAGTCGCCACACTTCCTCCATGTAGCACACAAACCAACAGAAGAAAGTAGAAGAAATGCATAATAGAGACAGTAAACAGGGGTATGAGACAAAGGAATAGTAATAACGAAGAACAAAACAGTTTCATTGAAAATCATAAGTCACAAGGAGTGGACGCATCTGTACTGTCATTGAGAACGATTTTGAGCCAGCAATATCACCACCTATTGTCTTTAGCCATTGGTTTTCACCGTCCCAAGAATCCCAACCAGTCAGGAAGTTTACACCTTCCTACGTGGCTTAAACTAATTGTTGTAGATTTCATTGACTCATGAAGTCATGTTTTGGTTTGATCACCATTAACTAGCTCTTTTCCAACCTGACCCTATATCAGCTAACATTGCCCGTCGAGGAAGGCGATGGATGGCTAGGAATGCATACGTAACACGTGTCCTAACCATCTCAATCGACGTAATTTCACGGCCTCGTCGATTGATTTCCCCTGCTTACCTAATACTCGACCGATGCCTAACCTCAATATTGCTCACCTTATTATACCACTTCACACGGGAGATAGAGCGCAGGGACCTATGATGAAAGACAGCTGGTCTTTTCATGTCTCCCACTCTCAATGGCCACGTCTCACAGCCAGTCATAAAGGAGGACGGAGCGGACTGATGAGCAGTACACTCATCCTTTGGTCGACATCCAGCCGGATATCACGTCTACTAAGCCAGAGACGGCGTAAACTGGTATATACGAAACTAGCCCTTTGTATCCGTACTCAGCTGAGATTTCGTCAGAGATCAACGCGTTGGCGTTGAGGCTAATGGTACTTCTCAAATAAGTGAAGCGAACAACACGCTCCACCAAACACTTCATTCCCTATTTTTAAACTAGTAGTCGGTGAGACTTCTGACCTGTTCTTTTCAAGTCATTAATTATTATTAATTCCTCGGTGTAAATATGATAGAAACTCACTTGAAATTTAACACAAAAGCGTATTGTGTTAAGAATTAAAATTTAAAAAATATTAGAGAAGAATGTAATAGTGTCAAACACAATAAAAATAACAATAATAATATTACTAACTAACTAACTAACTAACTTTTTGGTTACAAGATTTCATCGTTTATAAGTTGACATTGGGTTAGAGAACCCCATTGGAAAACCAGCCACAGGGAGTACTGGACAGCTGTTTCCTCCATCCTAGTTTGGGACTCTTCAGTTAAAAAGGATTGCGTCGGTGACCGGGAATCGAACCCTGGACCATGTGCATGGTCGTCGACGAGCGTCCTAACCGCTGTGCAGGCCGACGCAAAGTAGCACGGGGGAAGCAGCCAGCTTGGCCAGTACTCCCTGTGGCTGGTTTTCCAATAGGGTTCTCTAACCCAATGTCAACTCAGAAATGATGAAATTTCCTGTAACCAATCAACCTGTTATGTACTGCTGTTGATTGGTTAATAGACTTTTCCCCGTCGCCAATTATGTTATGTACTCGTCGAGTAGTTGTTAATAGTCTTGACGCGGAAAGAGGGAAATCAGAAGACCACCAGGTTTATGATGATACTTGTATTTTCCAGACAAGGAAAATAAATGTCACACAAGTGTGTGAGTGGAATGGTACGAGTGTACGAAATGTGTGTGAACACAAGAATAAACAAGGATCTAATACAAAAGTTTATATGAAAATGACTAATACACATGAACCAATAAGACAGTTATCTTACCATGATTGGTTGTAATGTCATGTGATAACAAGGTCATACATTGTTTATTTAGTTAGTGGACAGACAAAAGCATATTGTCATAATGAAATATCGATCCATATACCCATAGCAAAATATAATAGACTGTCAAAAACAAAACACCCACATCATGTGGATACAACTTACAACCAAATCTCTACAAAAACCAATAACTTGAATAAAACTCACTTTTTATCCAATGAAACAGATATAACTTGAAGTGCTTGAGTAGCACAAATTCGTACATTTGGCACAACATCTTCAGACAAAAAACGTAATAATTGAGCTACACATGTAGTTAAATGAACAGCTGGTATCTGTTGAGGTGGTGGTTGACAACCTTTAGGAATAGTTTGAACATTTACACTTTGATTAGTATTAGTATTATCTGAATTTGTAGTAGTAGTAGATGAGGACAACGATGAATGCTTTGATGCTTTCGACGACAAGTAGGCATAGATATTACGGGAAGCGGGGAATAGAATTCCTGCACTCGGATCATCGCCTAGTGCACTGTAAGGAGGTTCATCGAGGATACCAGGACCCCAAATAGCCTGTGACAAAAAAAAAGAAAATTGAAAAAGAAAGTGATACTTATAAAAAAACACAAAATAATTGAGCCAGCAAAGAATATCCTTTTCGATAATTCCCTCCTCTTCTGGCTCTACAATTAGAATAGTAGTCAATAACAATATTAGTGTGCTTTTTAATTAATATCGATTTGTAAAGTAAGATCACAATGGAATACCCACAGTTCATTAAAGATGCTTAAATTATAACAATAACAACAATAAAGATATATTTTCTATAGTTTGGTTTGTAAGGGTTTATTATGTTTTACGAGTTGATCACGGATTGATATCAGTTCAAGAACCATTGAAAACCATGATGCTTGCTAGTGACTTGCTACAGGTTGGAGTTTCCTGAGTTCTAGAGAGAAGTCATGACCAGTAAGGTCCAATTAGATGTCATGTGTGTGGATGGATGTCCCACCAACGACAATAGTTGGGGTCGCGCTAAATCACGAATTGGTAGAAGTTAGAATTCATGGACTGGTCATTGAATCGGGTCCCAGTGGCTCAATGGTGTACGAGACAGTTTGCCTTGTAACCGGAAGGTTCTGGGTTCAAACCCCCTGTGGCGGGTGCTTACTTCCAATGATTCCCAAACTAGGATGAAACATCAGCTGTCCAGTACTCCAGTACGGTGGTTCTCTAACTGATATCAATCCGTGATCAACTCGTAAAACATAACAAACCCTTACAAACCAAACAATAAAGATATAATAGCAAATAAAATATCAACTAAAATTAAGGAAAATTTCACAGAAACTGAGGATCCTTCAGGCCTAGATGGCCAAAGTAAAAACAATGTCTGAACTAGCTTTTTCGGGACACATAAATTAGGCTTCTTAATATGGATTCCAACAGCAAGCCACAGCAATATTTAGTAGTCGAACTAACTCTTGAGATTCGTAGGTATGCGGTAAATGACCCTGAAAGCCTTGTTAGCATCAACTTTGTGTTTTGTATCCACAAGATGAGATAGAATAGCACTGTGCGAATAGATTTTGTTTGTCCTTTACTTAATCAACCACTATGCAGGGTGATGTTTTATTACAGTCTAAAGCCAATAAAAAGGATTGGATAGGAAGTGAAATGTAGTTTGAAAATCAAATGCGCGCTATGAATTCTTTTTGTACGGTTACGTTCTATGAGTTGGGTAATTTCATTGCGAGACCTTTGGTGTCTTTATATACAACAGCTTGATCAGTGTAAGCCCTAATGTATGTGAAGTGAACTTATGTGAGCGAAGACAAAGTATCATAGCCAAAGTCAAGGTCTTTCAAAAGTTGACCTTCAAGAACCTATCAGATACACAGAATGCTATTAAATGTCATTCCAGACCGAATCATGTCGATGTTTTCGAACTTGGAGAGAGTAGATACAGTATTGCACTCATTTACCAGGTACTTCTTCTGCGAATTTATACTTTCACGTAGGGTTGTCACTTTTAAGATTAAGGTTTAGATTAGGGTTAAAGTTAGGAGTAGGTTGAAGAATACTGTCAAAAATATCGATAGATGTCAAAGTACCATGAGCTATAGTCATCTAGATGAATGGATATATCGCCCATGGTATTGTGGTGAGAGCTGGCTGCTAGCCAAAATTGGTGGACAGTAATTTAAGTCAATGTTTATGTCCCAAATATTTGTCATGAGAAAAATAAGAACAAAGACTGATTCAACAACCAATCACAGAAGACTTTGCGTAGGCGGATACAGTTAGCAGATAGATGATCTGCCATTCAAGAAACCACCACAAAGAGATGAAAGGTTAGCGTTTAACGAGAAACCACCAATCAGAGGACTGTTTTTCTGCTAACAATAATCTATAAAAATGTACATGAGAATCTATAAATATGTGTTGATTTCCTTAATAAAAGATCTGTTGCCTGACCCTTGTCTTCTGTTGTTACAGTATGATTTCTCTATAGCTCATCTGTGTATTGACTGGGAGACAATCTTACAACACAAGCTACACCTATATGGTGTAGCTTTTAGTGGAGTTGATTATATTGGACGTTGTAAGCGTAATCTCCGAAAACGTGTAGTTGAACGCTATATCCGGTTTGGTTAATGAAAGGCGAACGTGTAGAACTGTAAAGCCGTCTATTTATGATCACCTGTTAGAGTCTGGTCCATTTAGCCCAACGGGAGGGATAATGGCTGCACGAACTTCTTTTGAATGCATAGTTTAGGTTTAATAGTTCGAATGCCTATCGCCTCAGCTGTGTGCAGTAGACGAATACGAAGTCTATTAGAAAGATTCGGAGGGATACGATGAATTTCTTTGAAGGCTTTCGTTTTATCGACTACATGACCACTATCAATTAGATGTGACAGAATTGAGCTACGGATTGTTTTTGTCTGTCCTTTGCCAAACCACCACGATGGGAGTTGTTCACTAGCACGTTGACTAAGCTGTCTAGTAAAATGCCCAACATAACTATCATCGCAGGTTCAGTTGAATTGATAAATGCACATAGATGTGGCGAAACTATCTAGCTTATCCTTCGTTTGCGTCCCAATCATTCGTCGGCTATCAGTATGGAATCAGTTTGAAAAGCTACTGCGCTCAGAATATGGATCGAGATTCGGATTCTGTTTAACACAAATGTTAAATCAGCCAGTTCTTCTATATATGCGTCAGAAACTTGGAGGACGCATCACATAAAGCATTGCCAACAAGTTGCAGACTTCTATTAGTAGCTGCCTTCACCGGCTCCATATCGAAGATCAAATGACCATTTAAAAGAAATTAGCAACGAGAAACTCTAGGAAAGAACCAACCAGGAACCTACTGTTCAAGAAATATAACGAAGAAAATGGAATTGGATGGGACACATGCCGGGCACAGCCTAGAGTGAAACCCGAATGAAAGACGGTAAGTCGGTAAGTATCCGAGAATGACATGGAGATTGTGTGAAGAAGAGATGAAAGCTTATGAATATACGTGGAGCCACCTAAGGGAGAACCACAAAGAACAGGATTAAATGGAGAGGTGCTGTTGAAGCTCTATGTTCTACTTGGAGCCCAAAGCAGTAATAATAGCAATACAATAATAACAAACTGTAGCTTCAGAGTAACTTATACTTCCTCAGATTTTCTAAGCGGTATCAAACACTGCTGAAGTTAGATGCCTAACAAATATAAGCCATTCCAGTTATCAACGCTTAGCAGAAGGACTGGTTACCACCAGACGGCGATAATCATTGTGACCGTTAAGTCTGTTGATTCGGTTTGCACTGTAGTCCAGTTAGGCAGACTTTTATCACAACACTAAATATCACAATCCAATCAACAGGAAAATATTTCCACTCAGTCGTTGAAAACTTCCAGACACTAAGTGCATCTCTTGAACCTAGAGATATCATTTAACTTCCTTGAACAAGAGGTCTTTCATTGAAAACAATGCCTGGAGACTTCATTTTCTCAAGTATTGGTTTTGTAGAGATTTTGTTTGATTGCATGGAGGATTTCATCATGAGCTGACATTAATTAGAGAACCGCTGGAAAACCTGGGAGTACTGGACAGCTGTTTCCCCCCGTCCTAGTTTGGGACTCTTCAGCAGTACACACCCACTACCGACAGGGTTCGAACCCAGGACCTTCTGGTTACAAGGCGAGCGAACTCGTAGACCATTGAGCCACTGGGACCCGATCCAATGGTCCTTGAATTCTACCTTCTACCAATTCACGACATAGCGCGACCATTTCGCAATGTCTTCTTCGATGATGAGTTACTGCCTCATCTTCAACCTGCTGTACTCTACTGATCACGGCTTCCCACTAGAACCAGAGGTTAACTGCCTGAATTGGGCCAGTCGCTAGTGAGCATCAGATGACTTTTTGGGCATTGGTTTTTCTAGCCTACTGTCTTATACACGATAGACGTCGATACACTCCCTTATAGATAATCTTATATGAATACAAAGTCGTACAGTTTTATATCATCACTTACTTGTACTACATTTATGTATATCTGACGAAGATGATAATTGGGATCAGTTGCAAGGGCTTTGAGGCCACCAGCAGCAGCTTGTGATGTCAAAGCATTTGCTGGATTGGTTGATGCATTCGATGAAGCTGATGCATTCGCTTGATCTGTTGCTTGAGCAGCATTCGCTGATGCTGAAGAAGGATTTCCCGAAGAAGACGAAGAAGAATTCGATGCATTACTTCCACCACCAGATGGATTTGTATTCGATGAGGCACTACTACTACCACCGCCTGGATTCGAAGCAGCTGAACCGCCTGAAGCAGAACTTGTACTTGTTTTTGAGCCAACACCATTGAAAGCTTTCTTACAGGCGCTTGGACAGGCAACTAACAAACGCGCAAGACTACGACAAGCACATTCACGAACACACCAAGCTGGATCACGTAACCAGGCAAGATTGGCTGGTAAAACTGTGTCTTGTAAACAACTTTCAGGCTAAAATAGGAAATCAAAAGCAAAAATTATTGTTCTAAGAAGCAACAAATCAGTAAATGCAATGCAAACAGGATATACACATCACAGAGATTCAAGCTCTTTTAATAATAATGATAATGCTCAACATTACTTACCATATAGTTCAAGTACAAGACAGTAAAAGGCACAGGGACACCAGTCCACCAAAATCTATACCTTATAATGGTTATATTTCACTGACGTCAAAGGAGGTACAGTGAACCACAGTGTAAGTAGTTGGATGTCCCCACAAGTCATCAAATGTCAAGCGAGGACGCTGACAAAGTGCAGAGTCTTCTGAACACCTTGAGCAGCAACCTACGAATGTTTGGGATGAGATTCGCTCCAACCAAATGTAAGATGATGTTACAGGACTGGACTGCACCACATTGACTCCTAGTTTACAAATAGGTAGTGAAGTGGTAGAGCACATTGACCGCTTCGCTTATTTGAGAAGTACCATCAGCCAGTGCCAACGGGTTGATCTCTGACGAAATCTCACCACGGATAAAAGGGGCTCGTTTCGCATTTGCCAGTTTACGCCGTCTCTGGCATAGCAGTCGTGATATCCGGCTGGCTGTCGACCAAAGGATGAGTGTACTGCTCATCAGTCCGTTCCATCCTCCTTTATGACTGGCTGTGAGACGTGGCCATTGAGAGTGGGAGACATGAAAAGACCAGCTGTCTTTCATCATAGGTCCCTGCGCTCTATCTCCCGTGTGAAGTGGTATAATAAGGTGAGCAGTATTGAGGTTAGGCTTCGGTCGAGTATTAGGTAAGGAGGGGAAATCAATCGACGAGGCTGTGAAGCAGTTACATCGACTGAGATGGTTAGGACATGTGTTACGTATGCCTAGTCAGCCATCGCCTTCCTCGACAATGGGCAATGTTAGCTGACTGACATAGGGTCAGGCTAGAAAAGAGCTAGCGGCGGTCAAACTAAAACATGGCTTCATGAGTCAATGAAATCTACAACAGTTAGTTTAAGCCAGCCAGCCACGTAGGAAGGTGTAAACTGGCTGACTGGTCGGGGTCCTTGCGACGGTAAAAACCAATGGCGACTGGAGACAATTGGTGATATGGATCAAAGTGATCGTTCTCAATGACTGGCGGAGATGCATCCACTCCTTGTGACTTGTGATTTCCAATGAAACTATATTGTTCTTCGTGATTACTGTTCCTTTGTCTCACACCTCTGTTTACTGTCTCTATTATGCATTTCTTCTACTTTCTTTTGTTGGTTTGTGTGCTACATGGAGGGAGTGTGGCGACTTGAACTGGTGCACATCGGCGCAAAGTTGTTCTATGTCGAAAACAGACAGACAGACAGACAAATGTCAAGCGTCACCTCTCTATTAATGCTGAGCTTTCATGAGTAAACTCAGTACGTTGGAATTCGAAGAACTTTTAGAACTATAAGTGAATCTGTTAACGTACATCCTCTACATTCCTCTATATCCTTCAATTATAAAACTATCACAGCTCTTTAATAAGACAACGGACATAAGCTTCATTTCGACAATGTCGAAATTCTTCGAAGAGGATTTCATTCAACACATAAAGAAAGGTTGACCTCTGAAGCCTTGCACATTTTAACCACATTGAATGCAGTAAATAGGAAGGAGAGAAGAGATAGACTAATCACCTACCTATATGGCTAACTCTTGTGTGAAGCGAGACAGATGAAAAACAACAAAAACCTCTATGAGCCTCCATGACCTTTAAACAGAATGTAGTATCATGTTTATCACATGTGAATTCACGTATTTTCCATATGACGAGTGGCATTCACACACACACACACACACACACACATTCATACAAAACTAGTCTTTACAAATCAACTATAGAAGAGTGAACACAACAACAATTTGACATTAGTCATTACAAATACATGTGAGGACTGCTTACATATTTATATTGGTAAAGCTGTCCATGGACAAATGACCTTCAAATAAGCTGACTTCAATTTATGTAAAAATACCTTGACGACTATATATTTTGATGATTAATAAAAATACGAATAAATCTGCTGAAGAAGCTGTGGCTGTAGCTTACACAGTGAAACGTTTAGAAAACAGATCTTGTTTTGATTTTTTTCTTAAGCACGCTGGGATTAATTTAAATAATTTATAATATATCACAGCTGTGTTGGAAATAACCACAGGAGTCAGACAAGGGTGCTTATTATCACCAATGATATTCCTAATTGTGTTGGACTGACTGGATTATGCATCAGACAGTAAGTGGGAAACGAGCAGACAGGGAGGGATATCCTGGACCGAAGTGAAGAACCCAGAAGACATGGATTTCACGCGTGGATGATTTATGCGTGGTGTCACACAAAATCAAAGAGACTTACAAGCGAAAACCGACAAACTGGTCAAAGAAGCTGCCGGCGAAGACAGGACTCTAGGTGAACATAGACAAGACGGAGGTTATGAAAATAACCAACCAACAACAACAGTAACAGCAGCAACATCCATCGCGAATCACCATCGACGGGAGGGATTTGAAAGAGGTTACTTCATTCACTTCATTATCTATGGAGCATTGTCTCAACTACAGGAAGTCGGAACGGACGAGGGTGTTGAATCGAGCGAGAATCGCGAAGGCGAGAAACACATTCATCAACCTGAAACCAATCTGGAAATCTTCGTCACTCAGCATCAACAACAAAATTCGGTCAGATTTTCAATACAAACGTCAAATCAGTCAGTTCTTTTCTACGGGTCAGAAACTTGGCGGGCGGGTCACAAAGAATATTTCCAACAACCTGTTGCAGACCTTCATCAGCCAACAACTGTCTTCGCTCTATACTGAAGATTAGATGACCGGGCCGGAAAGAATCACCAACAGGACACTATGGAAAGGAACAAACAAAACAAGAACCCAACAACCGCCCAACAAATATGCAGGAGAAAGTGGAGATGGATTGGACACTCGCTGAGGAGGCCGCTCGCTGGGTGACATAGCGCGCGCGTCAGGCCATCGCTTGAGTGGAACCAGGCCGAAAGGGAAGAGGCGAGTTGGTCGTTAGTGCAAGGATTACATGGAGGAGATCGTGTGAAGAGGAGTTGAAAGAGTGTGGACTAACATGGATTTAGGTGAAAAGTACAACAGGAGGAAGACAGAAGCGAGTGGAGACGTGTATTTGAAGTCGTATGTTCCACTAGGAACCCAAGGGAACAATAATAATAATAAATAATAATACAACTCTGTTCTGTAGAATAGTACCAAAGATATTTTGATTTTCTTCATCAACTGAATATGTTCGCCACACTCCTAGACAACCAATAACACCACGTAGATATTTATGCACTAAAAAATGAGCCAATACTAATAACCATTATGAGGGTTGTAACACTCACTGCCTGGCTACCATCTGACTTTTAACGTATTGATGAAACCACCTTGAGACAATGAAACTGATCAAGTTATATGTTTACCTATGAAATGGATGTGAACTTCTCAAGCATACTTGCATTCGATAGATATTATAAGTGATCTAGTACGATCGAGAGTAGGTGGGCTCCCGTCAAAATGCTCACAAGTGACCAGCCACATGTTCGTAGTCTCTACCAGATAAGTTCTGTTTATGTCTGCTTTCAAGTGGCGCGGGTGTCCCTGAAAAAGTAAGAGGAAGAATGCGCGAACGTTCGGCGCTTATAACCAGATTGGTAGACATGAAGGTCCATCTATGGAGAGACTGGAAAATCCTGATTCCAAACCTATGGTGCTCATGGACTCCACAATCCAAAAGGATTGAATGGTGTACCAAGTTTGTGTTCAATAAATAAATACAAAAGTACTACCAGGTTTTCTACTCCAGGTTCTCTGACTAATGTCAGCTCATGATGAAATCCTGTAACCAATTAAATCCCTACAAACCAACACTTGAAATACAAAACAGTTGTATTTGGGAAAAGTCAGATGCACAGGCTGGGAGACTATGCTCAAAGAAGAATCATTTAATTAGTCAATATCTGGTGGACAGTAGCGAATTCGATAATGATGACGCTTTGCGTAGGTTTACGCAGAATACAGCTAGCAGTAACTTCTAGCACAGCACAGTGCTACCTTTCTGTCTGTTTTTGACATAGAACAACTTTGCACCGATGTGCACCAGTTCAAGTCGCCACACTCCCTCCATGTAGCACACAAACCAACAAAAGAAAGTAGAAGAAATGCATAATAGAGACAGTAAACAGAGGTGTGAGACAAAGGAACAGTAATCACGAAGAACAATATAGTTTCATTGGAAATCACAAGTCACAAGGAGTGGATGCATCTCCGCCAGTCATTGAGAACGATCACTTTGATCCATGTCACCAATTGTCTCCAGTCGCCATTGGTTTTTACCATCGCAAGGACCCCGACCAGTCAGCCAGTTTACACCTTCCTACGTGGCTGGCTGGCTTAAACTAACTGTTGTAGATTTCATTGACTCATGAAGCCATGTTTTAGTTTGACCGCCGCTAGCTCTTTTCTAGCCTGACCCTATGTCAGTCAGCTAACATTGCCCATTGTCGAGGAAGGCGATGGCTGACTAGGCATACGTAACACATGTCCTAACCATCTCAGTCGATGTAACTGCTTCACAGCCTCGTCGATTGATTTCCCCTCCTTACCTAATACTCGACCGAAGCCTAACCTCAATACTGCTCACCTTATTATACCACTTCACACGGGAGATAGAGCGCAGGGACCTATGATGAAAGACAGCTGGTCTTTTCATGTCTCCCACTCTCAATGACCACGTCTCACAGCCAGTCATAAAGGAGGACGGAACGGACTGATGAGCAGTACACGCGCTTTTCGGTCGACAGATAGTTGGATATTACGTCTACACCAGAGACGGCGTAAACTGGAATATGCGAAACTACAGTGCTACCTGGTGTGCTCCTTTCTGAGATCCAGATAGATCAAATAGATCATTAACATACGTGTATGAAATTTGGTCTAGATGACGTTTCGAAAACAATTTATCTGTTACAACTATTCAAGCTGAACAGTTAGTTCAGTAAATCCAAGATAACTTTAACAAATGACGTAACTCCTGTGGCTTGGTAGTTTAATAGGATAGAGAGGCTTATGGATTTGAAATGAAACACGTTATGAATTTGGTTCTTGATGGGGACATCCTCACCATCATTCCCTGGGATACGAGATGCATCCAGTGACGAGTTCCATGAAATACAACGAAGTGGGAGTCCTCGATTCTACTGCTAACCACCACAAAAAAAAACAAGAAACGTCAAGGTTTTAATCCTCGTAATATCATGAAGGGGACGTCCATATACTACAAAGTGAGGATGGTCAATGCGGTCAGATCTATCAGTCAAAAACATGAATACATTGCATTAAAAAAAGACTTACCAGTTTATCGTATAAACAAGGAACAGATTGAACAACACCAAGACGAACACGCCAATTTTTGTCTTGCCAAAGACGAAGTAAACTTGGCAACAGTGTCAATTGGATTTCATTTGAAGGCATTAATGCCACTAATTCAGAGAAATGCTCAAAAACGTATTGTTTAGACTATGAAGTAATAGGAAAAGCAAAGTAAAACAAAAAAATTTGTTTATATCATTGACCCGATATAGACAGTATCACATAGATGATTAATGGCATAACGGTAGGAGGATAGAAGAGCAACAACAGAGAATGTGTTCACAACATAAATAAGCTGTTCACATATGCCCAATCGCCCAACAAATATGCAGGAGAAAGTGGAGATGGATTGGACACTCGCGCGTCAGGCCCTTTAGTGGAAGTCGAAAGGGAAGCGGCGAGTGGGACGTCAGTGCAAGGGTGACATGGAGGAGATCGTGTGAAGAGTTAAAACAATATGGACTAACATGGATTTAGGTGAAAAGTACAACAGAAGGAAGACAGAAGTGGCAAGTGGAGACGTGCAGTTGAAGCCCTATGTTCCACACTAGGAACCCAAGGGAGCAATAATAATATGCACGCGTACTATTTTATTTTCAATAGTATATGCAATAAAAATGCTACAGGTACACGAGAGAGTCAATGATTTCGATTCTTACGCACATCTGGTAAAGTGTCAAGTCAAAGAGTCAAATGAACTCTTGGATCCCTTCCAAAGAACCCCAATACACTAACAGATGGTAACGTAACACAACGACGTCATATTATGGATTAATAATCTTTGTGTCACTCCTTACCATTTTCAGGACGAGGTAACACGCTGAATGAAAGGAAACTAATTAAGTCACTTCCCCAATGTAAACGTCAATCCACCATGTCCTGGCCGACAACTGCTACCTTGTCGTGGTGGTCGGGCTTGAATACTGCAGAGACCCAACAAGCTAAACTGACTGGGATTCATGTCCCTGTAAGTCCTACCATGTCAAGAAGGTTATTTGGATAGTGGTTAGACTAAAAGCAGTTACCATGGGGTACATGGGCTCCAGAACCCAATCGGATCAAATGACGTATGAACCCATATGGGTCACCGTCAACCATGGGAACGCAGCTCCTGACGCTGCTGGGCTGTGATATGTATCCACATATATATTTATGTGTGTGTGTATGTTGGTCTCTCTTTCTGTTTGCTCGCTTAGTTTGTGACCATTTCACTTATGTGAACTTGTCTCCTCTACTAATGTGTATTCTCCTTATATTATATTATATATAATATGAGTGTTTGTTGACAGTCCGTTGCTTAGTGACATATATCCATATATGGTTGTTTGACATGTCTGCTATATATATTTTGCTATATATATATATATATATATATATATATATATATATATATATATATATATATATTTCGTTCACACATTCTGTGTGAACTACTTTACTTACTTACCACTTTGGTGTGAGACCATTTATTTTCGTCTCCTTGTATTTGGACAATATAAGTATCATCGCAAACCTAGTGGTCTTCTGATTCCCGCCTTCTTGCGTCAGGACTATTAGTTTCTCGACCAGACCATAACAATAATTTGTCGACGAGTACATAACAGGCTGCCTTACGGATTAGACTCCAAGTCAAAGGCTCGGGGGGGGTTCCTTAAGAAAACCACCTGCTTCGATCTGGGCGCCCGGGCAGTATCTCAGCCCTCACACAACAGATGAAATAAAAGTGTGGCGCATCTTTCTTAGTGCCATACTAAGCCAAGTTTTTTTCTGCGTTTAAATAAATAATAATAATAATCCAATATGTTATGGAACCTCAGAATTATTGACATGGTGTTACAACGACGAGATGAAAGCATTCCTAAAAATCAGGATTCACAGAAGGAAAACATGACTGCAGGCATTGAAATATCATACACTCCGCCTTAGGTCGATAAAAGAATACTGTATTGACGACAAAAATGGAATGGATGGTCCAGACCATTTTCGAAATGCAGTCATTACATACTGACAGTACAGTACTTAGAGACACTATGGTGAAATGTGATTCGGGTAGCCGCCTATAAACTTATGACACAAGCTAATTGTGAAAAGCACAGACAAAACACTTGCAAAGAAACTCTCCCTTCAAACAAATCAAATAATTTTGAAATACCGGAAGAAATTCCGTAAAAACAACAGGCAATTGGTGAAGGTCATGACAGTTGAAAAAACAACCAAAACTGACAGTATGAAGGTGAAGCAGAAGACGAAAAGCGAGAACTTTTACGGCAATGTTCTCATATTTTATCAGTAGTGCCTTTTTCAAAGGCTTCATCAACAATCCTTTAAGTAGAACAACTGAAGGATAAGTGTAGCAGGTTCCAAACCCATTGTCGACCACTAGTAGTCTAATAACAGAAGACGAGGGCCAGGCAACAGATCGTTTACATAAGAAATCAACAGATATTTATAGATTTTTATGTACATTAATATAGATTATTGTTAGTAGACAAACGCAGTCTTCTGATTGGTGGTTTCTCGCTGAACGTTATTCTTTCATCTCTTTGTGGCCGTTTTTTGAATTTCACATTATCTATCTGCAGATTGTATCCGCCTACGCAAAGTATTCTCTGATTGCTTGTTGAATCAGTCTTTGTTCTTATTTTTCTCATGACAAATATTTGGGACATAAACATTGACGTAAATTACTGTCTACCAATTTGGCTAGCAGCCAGCTCTCACCACAGCAGTAGCAAGTCAAGTATCTTAGTTAATGAGGTACAATGACATAGTCTTTTATTTGACAAGATTGAACGTAATAATTCCAAAATTAAATTCAACTTAGAGACCTGATGCAAATTTACGTATTGTACAATGTACGTCACTGGTTCAGTGATTGAGAGCCGGCTAATCTCACCTCACATGGTCCGGGCTTTGATCCCCCTCGCTGAAGAACTCTCAAACCTCGCTAAATTGCTCAGTAAGCCTGATAAAGAGGGGAGATCGGGCGTGGGAGGCTAGCAACCCCCCCCCACGTAAAAGAGAACAAAAACCACTACTACCGAAACTTTAAAGCTCAAACTTGAAGCCATCGCCAATGTTCCACTCGGGACGACAGTTAACATTTCAGGATGAAGGAAAAGAAGAAATAGTAGTGAGGTTTGAAACCAACAGCCATTTTACCATGAAGGGGTTGAATGTTTAAACTAATCCATCCGCCTGTTAACTTTCGTATATTTATAAATTTTTAATTTTAATTTTATTATAGCTTAATTCCACAAAGTATTTTTGATTATTATTATGTCCTTTAATTCCTAGAGGAACATAGGACTTCGGCCAAACGTCTCCATTGCCTTCTTTTTCTGCCAACTTTTTCACCCCGCTCCAAGTCTGCACACATACTTTCACCTCCTCTTCACATCACCTCCTCCAAGTCACCCCACCCTCGCACTGACGACCATCTTACCGCTTCCCTCTCGGCCTGGTTCCACTCGAGCAATGGCTTGTCTAGTGATATCACTTGATGGTTTCTACAGTGTATGGCCAATCCATTTCCATTTCTTCTTGCTTATTTGCTGCACAATCGGTTCATACTGGGTTGGTTCGCTCATTGCCCAGAGATCCCTGTTTCTGATCTGTTCTGGCCGGCCATCTGATCTTGAGTATTGAGCGAAGACAGCTGTTGATGAAGGTCTGTAGTTTGTTTGAGATGCTCTTTATGATGCGCCATGTCTGTGATCCGTGTAGTGTAGCACTGACTTCACATTGGAGTTGAAGATCCGGATCTTATTTTTGATGGTGAGTGCAGTTGACTTCCACACAGACTTAAGAGTAATAAAAGCTTATCTTGCTTTCCCAATCCTCGCTCCTTTGATATCCTCGTCAGTTCCGCCTGTAGTTGAAACGATGCTTCCCAGGTAGGTAAAGGGGGTTGTTTCTTTCAGGTTCCTCTCATTTATGCTGATTGCTGTCTGTATTTTCGATATAAGTATGAAATTTTCGCCATGTGATTTCGGTAGCCCAAATTTTGCAGGCCGACCATTGATATCGAGAGTGCGTCGACCAGGAGTCGAATCCCGGACTATTTGCATGGTCGGCAAGCGCCCTAATCGCTGTGCCAGCGACACAGTGAATAAGCGAACACAGTTAGTATGAAAGTGGAAAAACAGGAAGACTTCACTCAACAATAACACCAACTAACCTGAGAACTTGTATCATTCAAAAATGCTAAAATATGCTGAACAAGAGGAAGACAATCTTCTCTACGGATGGACGGTAACAAACCGACAGCGCATCGTACAAGCTCAGAACGGACACGTTCTTCTCGTTCCATAGATAAATGTTCACGTAACCGAGGCAGTAAAGTATTCACAAGAATATCTCTAGGACTTGCAAGACAAAAATCTATTGAATAGGTAAAAAAACAAAACAAAGGAAAATATACAACAAATAACGCATTAATTAATCAACACTACTCAGATAAATCGATAAAAAAAATTACACAGGATTATAAACATTAAGTATTTACACACAAGGAGTCTGTACTATGTATACCCCATCGACAACAACAATAGAAACGCAGAAAAAACTTGGTACAAAATGGCACCAAGATGGATACGCCACACAATAATAATAATAAAACAACATAGATCAAAAGTAAAAGAAAATTTAAGTAGAGAATGGATAAAGAACTTCACCTGGAAGGAAAACAGTCATGCTTAACAAGTTCAAACAGTATTCGTTAACTATCATCGGGAAGGGAAGAAAGAAGGAAACTGCAACACGTTCGCCATTGATGACAGTGATTCTTGGCCATATCCAATAACGCTACGAGCCATCGATTCGAGCTATCTCTCGGACCCCAACCAGGGAGTCGTGACACACCAACCGATGCTAATCTAGCACAAAAATCCTTCATCCAACGATGCCACGTCATGGACTGACCATCCCTCCGCCTTTTCCATCCCGTCCCAGGGTCGGTTAGCGAACAGAGACCTGTACGGAGGCCTGTGGGATGACATTCCCAGCACATGTCCAAACCACCGGAGTCGGTGTTTCCAGATGACGACACTCAATGAATGGTGATCTCCATTGTGTTCAAACACAGGCCGCCGCCGAACCTCAGAATTACTCACGCGATGATGCCATCCATCGAACGCAACCAATCCTGCGGAGGCAGCAATGATCGAACACACAGAGTTGCCGAACACCCTCAGCCTACTCGGAGAGGCCAGGTTTCACAGGTGTAGAGCAAGACAGACCGCCCGCACCGAAGCATTGTATACCCAACTTTTGACAGCCAAGCTAACGTCGCGACTGCACCAGAGGTGGCTCAAGTTGATGTATGCCACCCGAGCCTTCATTATACGGTTGGAAATCTCATCCGTCACCCCTCCACCAGCACTCACACAACTACCCAGATACACAAACTTATCAACAACTTCAAGCGGTTCACCCACAAGAGTGAGTGCAGGTACAGGCTCCTGCCAATCTTGTAACAGTACTTTGGACTTAGACGGCGCAACAGCAACAACAAAAAGATGTTCATCTCAGTCTAAATGAAGCGTCAAAGATTTGGTGGATTGACTAGGGATTTCTTGAATGATCTAAGCAATACACTGGATACATTTCATTCACGTAGTAGAATTTTAAATAAGCAACACAATTGTGAAGAAAAAAAAGTAGTAATTAATGAATTCATAAATTTTAGTAAAAGGACTCATCAGCTGAATACTCCTCTATAAACACTGTTATTTATACAATTTCCGATTAAGATAAACATACATACAAACAATGCACATTGTTAAAACAAATAAGGGTCAGTTTCAACAAATATATGACCTATAAGTGACAGGTAATTGGTAATCTATTAACGTCACTCACCATTAAGTGAACAATATTCATCAAAGTGCAACATATCTACAACACATAAGCTGGAGTTATTGTGGTAGAATTAATACAATTATAAACAACTGAGACCCGATCCAATGTCCCATGAATTCCAACTTCAGTCAATTCACGACATAGAGCGATCACTTAGCAGTGTCTTCAATAAGTAACTGTCCTCACCTTCGACCTGCTTAATGATCTACGAGCTCGCTTGAAACCAGAAGGTTCCGGGTTCGAAACCTGGTGGGTGCGAACTGACGAAGAGTCCCAGACTAGGATGAAGCAGCTGCTAAGTACTCCTAGGTTTTCCAGTGGTTGTCTAACCGATGTCAGCTAATGATGAAATCCTCCAACTAAACAAACAAAATCGCTACAAACCAATTATAAACAAGATAACTGGTGGTTAGCGACCAGCAGTGGAATCCAGCACAACGCGAACTTCGTCCTATTTGAGACTCGTCACTGAACGTACCTGCATTTCTCAGTGAGTGATGATTTTTCCACCGAGTCTCGAACCCACTACCCATAGTTTCAAACGCCAAAGCGTTATCCACTAGACCACTTGGGCCACGATGGCACCTCTTGTGCAACGGGTCATATTAATTTAATTGAATTCGAGATTTTCCCGTCGATTGATTGGACCGAAGTGCTCAGTCTCAGGTTGACATTTCGGCTTCTTGTGCATATGCTTCGACGATGTCTGGGCATGTAATTAATTAGAATTTAATTGGTGGGTGGTGACTAGCAGTGGAATCCAGGATGCGCGTTTCGTCCCATTTGGAACTCGTCATCTGGTGGGAACTTCATCACTCACTGGGAAATGTAGATACATCCAGCTGGAGAAGGAGTCCCAAATAGGACGAAATGCGCATCCTGGATTCCACTGCTAATCACTAACCACCAATTAACTTTTAATTAAAGGCCCAGACATCGTCGAAGCATCTGCACAAGAAGCCAACACGTCAACCTGAGACCGAACACCTCGGTCCAATCAATCGATGGGAAAATCTCAAATTGAATTAATTAATGACAAACAACGTCGATCGGTGGAATATAATCCTAGAAACTGTTCAGATGAAAGTGTCTGCATGGAAATCTGCTCGATTCCGTTTTCCACAACCTTAATACAAATTTATTTCGGCAAGTCCATTTATAGATACGATGACTTGACACGAATTGATCTGCATGCGAAGGAGATTACCTCAGTGACTTGAAGCATACAGACTGCATAGTGTTACATTGAGTGAAGAAGAGGATAAGAGCCATTGGAACGCAAATTTGAGAAAGTCATCCGGTACTTGGTTATTGTTCGACTGCTCCCACTGGTGGAACTAACCTATGAACAGTTCACAGGTAAAGTGAACAGCCCTATAGTATCTTGGACACACAAATGTGTGCCTTCCAAAGTGTTACGTGATTGGAAGGAGAACCATATTAGCAAGAAAAGGACAACTTGCAAGACTAAAACATTACGTCAGTTTCTGAGCTGCTTGGCTATTTGCTTTAGTGATGCAAGGAAGTCTAGATAGTCGGACTGAAGTTTATATGAACATGGCGATCTAAGACGGGGGGATACTACCAAGCGATATGGAGGATCAATTCACAGAAAAGACGTAGATTCACTCAAATCATATTTTGATCATTTTGACTGTGATTCTTGTTTCACCTCAACGACCAGTGACTGACTTTGTGATCTCATTTCTTTTCGCTTCATTTTGACTTTATAGCCTGTGTTAAAACAGTCAGTATATTTTGATATTGTTATGTTCTCTGAGCTGGATAGTTAATTTGTGAAGCTTTCATCGCCCTACTAAGCGACATCTTCAGCGCATAAACTTCAATTTGATGAAGTGAGCTTTTAGATTTCTCCACGAGTTTATTAATCATCTCTCAACCAATCACGTCCAAGGTCACCAACCAGGAGAAATGATTAATAAACTCGTGGAGAAATCTAAAAGCTCACTTCATCAAATTGAAGTGTATGCGCTGAAGATGTCGCTTAGTAGGGCGATGAAAGCTTCACAAATGAACTATCCAGCTCAGAGAACACCTGAGCTACAAATCTTCTCTATCATATACAGTCAGTATATCGACTACAACATGAGCATTAACAACCCTCGCTTCTAACAGCCTGGAAGACCAAATATTACTATTGATTATCATATGACTTTTATCGTTCAAAACATATGTACAGGGATGAAATGGAGATGGATCGGGCACACGATGAGGAGATCGTGCGCCAGACCAGGACTCAAATCGAACCCGAATGGGAAACCACGAGTGGGTCGATTAAGAGTGATATGGAGGAGATGAGAGATTATGGGCAATCGTGGACCCAGCTATAGAGTACAGCAGAAAATAGAACAGAGTGAAGACGTATGGTTGAAGCTCTATGCTCCACCCGGAACCCAAAGGAACAATAATGATTATACGACTTTATCAACAGCTGAAGACAAATAAAAATTAGGTACAACAGACAGCGAACTTATTAGTCACAAATAACACTAAATAACACCAACTAAGTAACTCACCTTTCAGTTGACCAGCAGAGATTCTACGCGTTTCTACTTCATTATCTTCTAAGAGATTCAACATAATCTGATGTAGCGATCGACTGACTCCTCCATGATTACAAACCAACGTTTGAAGATCAGTAATCACTGATGCCATAGCTTTCCTAACATCTCTGTGAGATCGAAAAGAAAGAAGAATTTATAGAAATGAAATAACATAGACCAATTTCTGATTAACAGTGTCACTAAGCTCATGTAACAATGAAAAGCACAGATATATTATAGCTCAGTAATAACAGAAATATAACAACACTAAAAAGTCTCACAATTGAGGTTAGGCGTCGAGTTCTAGGTAAGAAGGGAAAATCAATCGATGAGATTGGGAAGTTACATCTATTCAGATGGCTAGGACATGTGTTACACATGGTTAGCCATCCATAGCCTTCCTCGACGACGGAGAATGTTAGCTGACATAGGATGGATCAGGTTGGAAAAGAGCTAGTTAGTTGTGGTAAAACCAAAACATGGCAGCATCAGTCAACGATATGCGTAGCAGTTAGTTTAAGTCAATCAGCCACATCGGGAGGTTGGGGTCTGCGGGACTCTAAGAGTCAAAGGCAACCGTAGACAACTGGTGATATGGCTCAAAATCATCGTTCTCTGTCAGTGATGGCGCAGATACATTCATTTACCCTTTGTGATGATTTTTCATAGCCAATAAAACTCTATTGTTCTGCCTGTCTAGATTCAACATAGAACTTGGCACCGAAGTGCACCAGTTCGAGTTGCCACGTTCCAAATAGCACACAGAGGTAGACAAGAAGATGAGTGAAGAGAATCAATACAGTCTGACAAGTATAAGAGTGAAACAGAATGGGTAATGGTAGAAAGAAATATGAAAGATTACAGAGACTGAATACATCTGCGCTGGCCACTGACAACGACTTTGAGCCATGTCACCTCATGACTCCAGCCATTGATTCCTATAGTCAGTCCCGAGGGCCTCAACCCGGAAGTCTTCATCTCCCTACCTGACCGACTCAGTTTAACTGTCAAGGATTTCATGGATTGATGAGGCCATGTTTTTGTTTGGCCACCACTTACTGTTTTCCAACCTGCACCTGTATCAGCTAATAATGCCCGTCAGGGGAGGCGATGGTTAGGCATGCGCAGCACGTGACCTAGCCATCTTAGTCTATGTAACTCTATAGCCTCGTCGATTGATTTTCCCTCTTTGCCCAACACTCTACGCCTAACGTCAACATTACTTACCTTATTATACCACCTAACGTGAGAAAGAGATCGCAGACATCTATTATCGAAAGCAGTCAACCTTTTCATGTCTTCAACTCGTATTGGCCATGTTTCAGAGCCATAGAGAAGGACGGAGCGAACTGCTGAGCAGTACACACGTCCCTTGGTTGATAGCTGGATGTCACGCCTACGCCAGAGATGGTGTAAGTTAGCGAAAGCAGCTCGAGCTTTTTCGATCCGTGCTGAGGTTTCGTCGCCAATCAGTCCGTTGGCGCTAATACAACTTCCCAAATAGGTGAAGTGGTCAACATGTTCTATCACTTCACTTCCTATCACTAAGCTAGGAGTTGACGTAGTCTAGTCTTGTCTGTCTGTCTGTCTGGATTCAACAGTCCTGTAGCAGCATCTTACATTTTACAGGGGCGAATCGTATGCCAAACATACGAAGATTGCTGCTCAAGGTGTTCAGAAGACTCTGCATTTTGTCAGCGTCCTCCCCTAACAGGTCTATGTCATCTGAATATTCTAAGTCCATAAGACTAGAATACGTTCCACAGACATGGAGCACATATTACCTAAATCGTTTCCAACAAATTGCTAAAGACTTTCGTTTAAGTCTGCCTTCCTCCCCAACACCACTCTGGTGTGATACTGAGGATCCCAGAGGGCCGGCTAGAAATGATAGGCAACAAACAATAATGGCACAGGAGAACTTATTGTTTTTCAACTGTTGCTTTGCACGGATTTCACTGATTGACAGGTTTGACCACGAGTTCACATTAGTTATAGAACTACTGCTGGGTAGCTGTGAAGTATTAGACAACTGTCCTCTCTGCAGGGGGTTGGAACCAGGATGTTCCGGTTAGGGATCAGGTAACACTAATGACTCTGATTGGCGGTTGCGCTATCTGTCGCCAATTGATAGAAGTTGGAGTTCAAGGATCATTGGATCGAGCCGCAATGACTGAATGATCTACCAGCTTGCCCTGTAACCAAAAGGTCTTTGGTTTGAACCTCAATGGGTGCTCACCACCAAAGAGTCCCAGACTGAGACGGAACAGCTGTCCAGAACACCCCGCTGATTTCCCAGTGGTTCCCTAACTGATGCAGAAGGAAACGGAGATGAATTGGACATAAACTGAGAAGGCGATTGTGCACCATCACACGCCAGGCCGTCAAATGAGAAAAAACGAGTTGGGCGTCCAACGGTAACATATGGCAAATAATGTATGGTAAAAATAAAAGCTCGTGGGAGGTCATGGAGTCAGCTGAAAGCGATGACAATGAACCGAGCACAGTGAAGATGTCCTAATGAAGCCCAATCTCTCACTTGGAATGCAAGTGATGAATGATAACCATAATAATAGCTCGACTAAGAAACCAATCGACTAATACATAACACATATGACAAATAATTCACAGCATTAGGGAGGGGAGGGGGTAGAGGCACATTACCTGCTAGGATCTCCTGCAAGTTTATCAATACACGGTCGAATGGTAGACTCAAACTCGGCAGCATCTGTAATCATTCGTCCCAATTCTACTAATGGGGGTAAACAAGCTGCTCGAACAATACGCTGATTATCTGATACTAAGCTGAAATAGGAAAACAAAGAGAAAAAGGAATAATAATAATACCACCTGTTAAACAGAATTTCACATGATGAATTGGTGTGATAAAATCGAAAACTACACAAATCAGACGACTAAAATCTTTCTTAAAACAATAAGTCTCTTTGATAAATTTGAACAAGGCATTTAAAAGACAGATTTCGCCGCGAGATGACATCGTCATTTCTTAGTTTCTTTACAACCGCTTTATAACTGCTAACATGGTTAACAATAATAGTAACATAAAGTTCATGATAATTACTCAGTTAAATAAAAAGCACAAAAGTGCATACTAATGACCCATCATAATTTAAATAGGTCATGTAGTCCATGGTAGGCGAAGATTGAAGTCTATTGTTTTCTGTACACACAGTTTAGGCTGTATGTGATTAATCCTCGAAAAGTGTTTCCATCACCTCTAACAACCAAACTTGAATTAGAGTTATGTGGTGAAATAATTGTGAAACAGTCATTAATATTGATTTTGTGACCTGACATTAATAAGTGTTTTGCAATGGATGATGCTGGATTTCTATTCAGACTACACGCATTAGGATTTTCTGTGTGATTTATATTCTTTTCGACGACATTGGAACATTCTATTGGTTATACTTATATAGGTGTCACCGCAGCTGCAGGTGAGCCTGTAGATACAGTTTGAAGTAGAGTCCACAGAATTCCGTCCTTTAATCGTAGGTACAAGGATCGAAAATGTTCAGGGTGTGAAGGAAAGGGATGCGGCGTAGAATGTGCGTTTGATGGCTGACCGAAGTCTTTGAACTAGCTGTCAACTGCATAACCTGGTCAATCTTGAATAATAGAAGGTTAATAAAGATAGACAGCTTTCTTTGGTACAGAAGCTGTCTTTTCAAGATGTGGTCTATCCTTACCGTGACAATTGATGAAGTTTTCTGGATAACCATTGGCTAGTAAAACTGAATGTATGTGTCGAAACTCATCCACCAATGTGTCACTCGTGTATATTTTTCGAGTCCTTGAGGACAAACATTTCACTCACTAGGGAACGTTTATACTGGATAGGAACAAAACTGGTAAAATGAAGATATTGTCCACTCCATGTCTGTTTACGAAAGAAAATAGATCGCTGAATCGTTCCATCATGTCTCCTGGTCATTGTAATCAATGACCAGGAAACCGAGTTTGTTATTCGATTCGAGTTCGGAAGTCACTCGGATATTTGAATGAATATGATTAAATAGGGTAATAAAGTTTTACAACTGTGTGTACAAAAAGCAATATACGTCAACCTTCGCTTACCATGGACTACTTGGCCTATTTAAATATGACTGGCCATTCGTATAGTGTGTACTTATATAACTGAGTAATCTTCATGAACTTTATTTTACTATTATTGTTAACCATGTTAGCAGTTACAAAGCGGTTGTAAAGAAACTACGAAATGACGATGTCATCTCGCGAAATTTGTCTTCTAAATGCCTTACTCAAAACTTTTCTTATTTAACGATGATTAACCAGCACATGTATACAGTATTCTTCTAGACCATAGTCATGAGGATAACTGAAGAGAAATGATCATTGTTGATGATATGAAGATGTTACATCAAGTGTTTACACAACCAGAATTGAATAACTAGAAACAACAAGATGAGTTGTACCAATTCGAATCATATGCGCATATTTTCACCAGTTACAAATTATCTTAACGATGAACAAAACCATTGTGTGATGGTGAAGAGCTCATCAGTCTCAGTGCCTGACTTCCAACCAATTACTGAACCAACGGTTCCAACACAACTCCACCAACCGAAGTTTTAGCAATCTCATAAAGGATATGGCTCACTGCCAACTACAAGTCAATGCAAGCAGTTGCTAAATAGCACAATTCCCCTATTGTGGAATGCTGACTCATTGACTGAAACACCTGAGTTCCAGCTAGGGTTCCCATCCCGCCGCATCCGGTTCAGTCATTCGAGATTCACATTCTAATTCGAAAAATGGTGGGCGTTCTGGGTAACTGTATGCAAACACTGGGAAGAGCTTTAATTTGTGATACATCTGGTTGGGCTAATGATCAGATTCTTAATGTTGATGACCTAATTTGCTTTAAAAATGAACGCCTTAGAGAAATCTGGACAAGTGGATATGCCTGACAAGATACATTTTCAGTATGTGTATAGAGCGAGAGAAAAACTCCAATGTTTTCCAAATTAATGCACTACTTTTTAAAACTAACCACCGATAATACTTAACTTTAGACCCTCAATATATTTAGCAAATTGAGTTTGAAACCCAGTGGGAGTGTACTACCGATGGGTCCCAAATTAGGACGAAACAGGTTGTCCAGTACTCCCTAGGGTTTCAACGGTTCTCTAACTGATATCAATCCGTGGTGAAATTTAAAAAAAATTGTAAGTGAAAGAGAAAAAAGACAACCAAATATCAGACAGGTAGCAATATCACCAAATTGCTTAAATCATGTGGTGCGATAGGATTCGAACCTGTACAACTTAGTGTTTAGTTGTGCATTTGGACAATTTTATATCCATTCTTATGCGTAAAAACTTCATTTTGCATTTAAAAACAGAAATATGAAGGGTTTAAATAAATTAAATGAACTGCAGATTATGCCCAGCTACCTAAATACTGCAATACCACACCAAGTACCACTTGCATTCCCATGCACAACGCAATCAGCCATGTTGGCATTCGAATTTAGTCCTCTGGAACAGGGATATCATGTACCAAGCTATAAACCACACAATTATAATTTGTTGCGGGTTGGTGATTTGCTTCAATTACCCAGACTGAAGTCTATGGGGGAGAAATACGAACCCGAGACTCAATGGCTGAAATTAGAGTCCCCTTCTTCAGCCAATCAGCCAAGACTTCATAATGGTGGCGGTAATGAACCATACTTGCTGTATAGGCGTTATTAATGCCTTCTGGCTTCTCAAACCCAGTTAAATGGAACACGATTCAAAACACATGGCCCAATGGTTGGAAGTCAATAGTCTAGTCGAACACAGGATTCATATTCAAAAAATGTAACTAACTACAGAGTGGAGATGACGCACATTACAGGTATCCAAATTGACTTTGGTTAGGGTCTTTCACCACGAGCTCTCATTGGTTAGAGAACCATTGGAAAACCTGGGAATACTGAACAGCTGTTTCGTCCTAGTTTGTGACTCTTCATCAGTACGCACCCACCGGGTTTCGAAACAAGGACCTTCTCGTTACGAGGCGAGCTCGTAGACCATTAAGCCACTGGGACCCGATTCAATCGCCAGCCCATGAATTCTAACTTCTGCCGATTCACGAAATAGCGCGACCACTAGCCAATATCTTCGGCAAGTATTTGTCCTCACACCCGACCTGCTGTAGCCTACTGGTCACGACTTCTTACTAGAACCCACCCAGGTAACTGCCTACCTGAATAGGACAAGTCGCTAGTGAGCATCTCGTCGATATTTAAGTGTTAGTTTGTAGGGATTTGATTGGTTACATGGGCCTGGGTTCGAACACCGGTGGGTGCGTACTGATGAAGAGTCCCAAAATAGGCTGACGAAACAGCCGTCCAGTACTCCCAGGTTTTCTAACGGTTCTCTAACCAATGTCAGCTCATGGTGAAATCCTGTAACTAATCAAATCTCAAAAAACCAATACTTGAAAATTGACTTTATTGACTGCTTTATACTGTCTAATCTTAAAAGAGTGAAGGTGAATTGATCGGTAGACGAATATGAGTACTAAAAGAAGAAGAAATTAATTTAACGCCTGCTTACTATGCAGCACACTTTTCGTTGAGAATAATTTCTAGCTAGTGGCACCAAGAAAAATACTAAATTCAAGTGAAAACTACTAAATTCATGGATAATCAATCCCCATCCAGGCATTAGTGAAAACAAAACACGTATTAGTTCAGCGAAGAGTCTCTTTGCAGCGGCGAACTCATTTTTGTAACTGTACGATCGCAAATACATATATAAGTTATTTTGTATGCATGTGTACATTAAGTTTGTCAAACAAAAATACAATTGGTTATGGTTATTTTAACTAGACAGGTGAAGATTGGTTGTTGGAGTTACGTAATATAAAATCAGTCAAGAAAACTACGTGTTGATGAAATTAGGGTAGTAACAAAGGTGATGAGTTGTCATAAACAGTTGTTAAAAAAGAAATTATGTAATAATAATATGAATAGTTTGATGATTGAGTTTTACTCAGGATACACATAAGAACAAAGAAGAGAATACGAAGTTACGTAAGATTTCTAAATGAATAGAAGAATTATAAGCAATTAAAGAAAAGGCAAGCAAACAAAATTAAGTCATCGAAATCAACAAAGTTGTTACCATGACAGTAGAAATGGTTGAATAATCCTCTTTTGTATGCACAGCTCCAGTTTTTCTATGTGAATGACCAGAGCTTCAGAGATACAAAGAAGACGAAACCGTATTGCCTTTGATAGGTTATTCTTGACTCTGTAGATTACTTTGAAGCAGGAGGCGTTTGTTGTTGAGATGGAATGATCAGTGTTAACCAGGTGTTCAATTATTTTTGTTTAACAAATTTAATGTACAAATACATACAAAATAACACATATATATATTTGCGATTGTACAGCTAAGAAAATGAATTCACCGCCAAAAAGAGTCTCTTCGCTGAACAACGTCTTTGGTTTTCAAACTACTATACACAAAAGGTTACAGCGGCTGCTGACGGTATGGTTACACTCTTCCTATAAAACCAGACTTTAAAGAACATTTTGTGAAAATGATGACAAAGATAACTCTGAGTCATTTCCTTCACTCATGATAGTCAAAAATATAAAAAAATACAATGTGTCCTGAAATCGAATAATAAATACAAACATACCTTGCAATTAACAGGCCTAGTTCTGATTTCAAATCAGGACCAAAAAGTTTAGCAAGAGGAACAAGTTGTTGAACAGCTGCAGCACGAACCAGAGGAACTTCATCCTCGCTATCCGCTAAGTGAAAAAGTCGACTGAAAAGAAGAAACAAAAAGGAAAATATCGTTGTTAAATGTTAAGAGACAGACAGAACGTTAAAAACTTAAAAAATTGTTCAAACAATTCATGAGATATAACTTATGGTAAGTATCACGATTCCCCAGTCATCAATCAAACAAGTGTGATAGAAAGAAATATAAAAAAATTCAATGAAACTTCATTGGATCACTTGTGCATAAAACTTTGGGCTGGCTCTAATCAGCCAGGTTATGAAAATAACCAACCAACCAACAACAACAACAGCAGCAACATTCAGCGCCAATCACCATCAACTGGAGGGATTTGAAAGAGGTTACTTCATTCCCTTAACTAGGGAGCATTGTATCAACTACAGGCAGTCTGAAACGGACGAGGATGTCAAATGGAGAATCGGGAAGGCGAGAAACACATTCATCAACCTAAAAGCAATCTGGGAATCTTTGTCACTCAGCATCAACAAAAAATCCAATCGGATTTTCAATACAAACGTCAAGTCAGTCAGTTCTTCTATACGTATCAGAAACTTGGCTGGTGGGTCACAAAGAATATTTCCAACAGCCTGTTGCAGACCTTTATCAACAACTATCTTCGCTGGCTCTATACTGAAGATCAGATGGCCGGACCGGAAAGAATCACCAACAGGACACTATGGAAAGGAACAAACAAAACAAGAACCCAACAACCGCCCAACAAATATGCAGGAGAAAGTGGAGATGGATTGGACACTCGCTGAGGAGGCCGCTCGCTGGGTGACATAGCGCGCGCGTCAGGCCATCGCTCGAGTGGAACCCGGAAGGGAAGCGACGAGCGGGACATGGAGGAGTTGAAACAGTATGGACTAAGATGGATGCAGCTGAAAAGTACAGCAGAAGACAGAGGGAAGTGCAGACGTGCAGTTGAAGCCCTATGTTCCACTAGGAACCTAAGGGAACAATAATAATAATAAATAATCAGCTCAACTATCTTCATTTTCATTATTATTGTTTACAATACGGGAAAGTAGTAGAGCATGAAAAAAGATACACAGGATGATAAAAATGATTGCTCAGTAAAGATTCATAAGGCTACAGGACAACACCTTGGTGACAAGACCGCCAAAGTTCGTATGAAGAGAAACAATTTCCAAACGAGATGATTACACAAAATGAGTTTGAAAGACATGCTGTAAGCTGTTGAGCTCCATCGTATCAACTGGTTGACTTTTTATGTCAGTCAGCAACCCCCAGGTGCCTACCTGTGAAATTTATAATTGGTCATAATTACAGCATACAACACTTATGATATCACCCACCGACTTCAAACCTATGCGCAGATGAACCTGCAACCTTAAGATTAAAAGTCTAACGCCTAATGTAATGAATCACACTGCTGCTGAATTCATAAAACTGTCCTTTACTTAGAAAAGCAATAAAGTAAACTGATGACTGTCCGTCAATCTACAGTAGCACACGAAAAAGAACCGAGCAGACAGGAAGATTTAATGTTGGACAAATCTAAGGCTTTTGTTAATATTCAGAAGATAAGGTTTTGGAGCCACATCACGGAGAGTCTCCGCTAGACTAGACGTTAGCACCTTGAGAATGCAGGCCAGATAGCACGCCACATAAAATGGCCTAGACTAACAATTATAAACTTAATGAGCAATGAATTCAGTTATTATCACCATAATATCTCTCGTCACCCTGATTTTTCTGAGCTAGGAGGTTCCAAATGTAAACCCTGCAACGCCCACTTCAACCGGAGAAACTCGTAATCTCATCCACCCTTACCAGCAATAACTGTGATTCACAGTCCAGCAGATAAAAAATGTGTTCTGGGTAAGTGATTTCCAACCAACTAACCTTAATCTGTAACAACCACGGTTTTAGTTAGGTGGGAAGGATGTTCACCATGCTAAACTATTCGTAACTAAGCAGTGATTGTGTATATTGAGAAATCCCCTTATGTCAAACACCTACCAGAGATACATTACCTAATTGTAGCCTATTGCGTAAAATGCATTTCTCCAGTGTACAAAATCCTAGATCAAACCATAATAGTTAGGTGCTAGAAAGTGGACAGGCCAGCTCCTCGTACATATAAAGCATACCTACCACCGTATCTGTAAGGTATAAACGAAAGGAGAGAGGATTTACCCTGACGTTAAAGCTAACGACATAAACCGCTCACTTCCAACTTCTACACATACAGCTAACATATCCAAAATACCACTTAACAAAGTGAGCACTAATACATACTCCATGTCTGCTAGGGGAAATCATACCATAAATATCGCAGACAATAATATGGAGAATGCACAAAATCCATTACACATTCCCAAAGAAATACACGTAAGATAGAAATAAAGATTATCAGGTGAAGAACAAAATAACTTACTACTTAAAGTCGACTTGATTTCTCGCAGAAACCATAGGATAACATGCGATAATTATCTTTGTCACTACCTTCCTTGAAGCACAGTACAGGTCCTCTAAAATATTTACAATAGAAGAGCGTTATTATGACCCTACAAATAACACTTAAACACTACAAGAAGAACCTTTAATAATTTAAAAAATAGGCATAACAATACCTTTAGAAATAATCCCTATAATTTATTCGTTTGTACACAAAGGAGATTCATGGAAATAACCCACTCTATTCAGTGTATCACTTGAAACGATTCAGTTCAACAGAGCAACTTGAGCTGCAATCTAAGAATGTTTGGCATGCTGTTCGCTCCCACCAAATGTAAGATGATTTTACAGGACTGGACTACACTGACGCCTAGATTAGAAATAGGAAGTGAAGTGGTAGAGCACGTCGACCGCCTCACTTATTTGGGAAATACCATCAGTCCCAATGGGTTGGTCTCTCATGAAATCTCAGTGGTATAATGTGAGCAATATTGAGGTTAGGCGTCGAGTACTAGGTAAGGAGGGAAAATCGGTTGACGAGCGAGGTTGTGAAATTACATCGAATGACATGGTTAGGACATGTGTTACTCATGAACGCCTATTCATCGCCTTCCTCGACCGGTGGGCGATGTTAGTTGACATAGGGTCAGGCTGGAAAATAGCTAGCGGCGGTAAAACCAAAATATAGCACCAGCCAATGAAATGCACAACGGTTGGTTTAAGCCAGCCACGTAGGAAGATGTAGACTGGCTGACTGGTTGGGGTCCTCGGGATGGTAAACACCAGTGACACTGGAGAAAATCGGTGATATGGCTCAAACTCATCGTTATCAATGGCTGGCCCAGATGCATCCACTCCCTGTGACTTATGATTTCCAACGAAACTATATTGTTCTGCGTTATTACTATTCCTTTGTCTCACACCCCTGTTTACTGTCTCTCTATTATGCATTTCTTCTACTTTCTTCTTCGCTGGCTTTGTGTGCTACATAGGGGAGTGTGGTGACTTGAACTGGTGCACGTCTGTGCAAAGTTCTATGACGAAAACAGACAGACAGACAGAGTTCGACAGAATGAATGAGAAATCAAAAGTACAAATAAGTGTGATTCATCTGCTATTCTTCCAACAAAACAAGCTGTGAATCTTAGTCACTTGCTTGAATCTTAGAATCTTGCTAGCCACTATTAGACATTTGACAATACCACGGGTACGCTTGATTTCGTATGCAACTGCAAGACATGTCATAATTCTTGACAAAATGAATCACATGTGATGCAACTACGAAGTTGGAAAAGCTCAAATCAAATGTAACGTTGTCAACGTTGACAAGTATCTGTTATAAGCTCATGATGAAATCCTCCAACCAAGCAAACTAAATCCCAACAAAAAAACCAATACTTGAAAATACATGTTACGCCAAGATGCTGGCCGCCACATGTCATATTTTCCACGCCGGTGTCCAATATCCACCAAGCTACGTTAAGCTACAGAAGACTTAAATCATGACATTCCATCGAGTGATGAACTTACTGCTTATCATTTCAATCCGATTAATTGCAACCTTTTAAATATCAGCAGCTGAGGATGTAACCCAACTCAAGGCATATATATAGGACTTCTAAGGTAGTGCAGGTCAACAATGAAAAGTTTCAGTTATCGCTACTAAGAAAATTTCAACCTGGTAATGTCAGCAGCTTTCACACGACTAGTATGACTCATTGCCACGTGATTGATGATTAACATTTCATTCTCCCACAAAACTGTTATATTATTGAGGTATAGTGATATTAAACTTTTAGAACAAATACTAACTTCGCACACAACTATGTAAATGAAATCTTGAATACGCCAAAATCAGGCTGTTAAACATTTTTAATCCAGAGAAGGATATTCCTCGATAAATTGACAACGCCTAAAGCCATTCCAGGAAACAGCACTACGATGGAACTACTCTAACTGCTGCACATCTGTGCAAAGTCCTATGTTGAAACCAGTCAGACGACTACGATGGAATAACAAGTGTTCATGATGTTCCAGAACACAGAAATGTCTCTAACAAAGTATTTTCAATGACAGTAAATGGCGTTAAAGTCCGCTAGCGACCTGTACAAAGGCCTTGAATCCACTGACAATATTATAACTAAGCTCAATTAGAAGGACGTACTTATATAGCACTTTACAGTGAACTAAATAAGTTTAAGTAACTAAATAACTGATACATGCTTCAAATTGGACAGACACTACTACTGGTCATGTAACAAAGACCAAAAGCTACATATAGCTAGTTAGAAGTCACGTATGCATTAGCAGAGAACAAAAGTAAAGTAAGCAGTGCAGTCTTGTGTACCTAGAAATGATTAGGACTACCCGGCTCTAAATGTCAGCAAAAATGATGTCAGTCGCCTAAATTGAACACAAAACATACAAGAAAAACAATGCAGCGTATTTCATGAAATTACCTTCAATAATGTGGCGAATAATTGGAGTAAATGTCGTGTCAACAACATCATTTGGAAGCTTTGGCAAAAGTGCTATGAGAGAGTTGCATGCAGCTTCAGCGACAACAACTTCCTCAATTGAATATATAATCTTCGCCAAAATAGGCTAAAAGAGAGACAGAGAGAAATACGATTTTTTAGATAGGACGATTCGTTGGGGCATATGATATTTGACGACTGTTTTCTATGTACAAGTATTTGTGAACTAGTCACGCTAAAGTAGATGGACAGGTATTCAAGCACGAAATACTGCAGCCTGAACTACACCTCCATTCACTGTACGAATGCCTCGATTGCATGTAAAATAAAACTGTAAACGATACCATATATATATATATATATGTAATTAGTCATTCTCTTATTTCGTCAGAGCAATGATTCATATTACTTTTGAGAAAAACTCTGTGGACCCAACTTCGATCACGCATACTAGCAACCAGTAATACGGATAAGCTTTAAAAGTTTTACATTTTTTGATACAGATTAATGCCAAAACACTTGTGATGAAAACATATTTTGCACCTATCAAATAACAGCACAACAAAAACCTGAGTTTCACAGTTCTGAGACATTTGCTAGAAGAAAAGTTCAGAACAAGTTGTTAGGACTTACAACAATCAAAGTTATGTGTTCAGCACCACCAACAAAATCGCCAAAAGATCCCAACTTCTGAGCAATGACCATGAGGATTTCGTCATCGCCAGCATCAATAGCATTAGCGACGACATCTATTATAGAAAGATAAAAAAACGCTTGGTTATTCATGAAACTCAAATATAAAGAGTTTAATATTTTAATTCGCATCTCTTTACCTGAGATTGTAGGTATGAGTTTTTCACGTGTCTCCACCGGTCCCAAACTAGCTGCTAGTGTGGGTAAAGTGTGAAATACTCGTAACTTTTCCTGTGAAATTTAATTCAATTACTAGACATCAAACATACAGATGTTTCAAGATTTTCATATTCTGATTCTGCAGAATTTGCTGGTGCCGTTGAGTTATCAAACCTCAAAGTCTTGAGGGTTTGTAAAACAGCTTCTAAAACCGACATTTGCACATATTTAGCATCACAGCCAGTTCAGACAAAAAAGGCAGACAAATGCCAAGCCCTTGAACCTTGAACAATCTGACGCATCATAACGAAACTTGAAGTGCAGTCTATGTACCGAATAGAATATGATTTAATCAGCATTGCCTGAATTCCACAATGATAAAAAATTAGCTGCTGGTTCTAGCAGACATCTGATTTCGGCTGTACGAAAAAAAAGAAACTTCCACATTGATGTCTCTAGTCCTCGTCTTAAAATTTAAGTATAAACAATCCTCTACTAAGTTTTAACCTGTCTATTTTACAACAGAAGTTTCGTTTTTATGTTTGTACGCTGCTGGTGGGTCATTTGGAAATCCCTACGATCTATCTCCAATAAATGTAGCAGGTGGCGGGGTTGCTCTGTACATCAACAACTCCCTACATGTTCGTTCCGTGAAATCTGAAGCTCATGACAGTGGGACAGGTGAGGTAATTAGCTGTGAAGTAAGCTTTGCAACCGGCACTCTACTCATTGGAGTTCTGTATAGAAGTCCCTATTGTCAGTGTGATGACTTCATTTTAGATCACCTCAAACAATGGAGTAAACACAGTAGCTGTCTTATTCTAGGTGATTTTAATGCACCTCATATAGACTGGGTAGCTGTCACATCTCCAGGATCCGCTGATAAGTTTGACAGCCGGTTACTCTTGACAACCATGGAAAATGCCCTGACACAACATGTCTTAGGTAGTACAAGATTCGGTTCTACCCAAGGATCTTCCTTGCTGGACTTAGTGCTTACTCATGACAACGACGACGTGGATGGTCTAGTTATTCATCCACCTCTAGCAAACAGTGATCATGGGGTGTTAGATTTTAACTTAAGGGCTGGCAATTTAGTCAGTTTTCAACCCAAATCCCGGCCTAGTGTTTGGCATGCTGACATAGTGGCTATAAAGGAGCGTGCTTCAACTGCCGACTGGTCAGTCAACATTGTCTCATCCATTGAAGATGAATGGGATAGATTTAAGAATACACTTGAGAGGGTTACCACTGATCTCATCCCCTGGAGGGTTCCTAAAAGGCCAACAAATCGGCCACCATGGATAAATAGACAAGCTATAACACTCCTGAGACGGAGAAAAAGGTTCTGGAATCTCTTTGTTTCTACTGGGCTACAGCAGTTCCGGCTGAAATACTGTGAAACCAGTGTAAAACTTTGATCCACCAGTCAAGGATAGCTTACGAAACCCAGTTAGTTAAAAGTTCACCAGGCTGCCCAAAAAGACTCTTCTCATATATCAAGAGAAGAACACGTAAGAGTGATGCTATCCCACCTCTTATGCTTGAAGTTGACCAGACAAACATGGCTGAGGATAACTTGACTAAGGCTGAGGCTTTGTCCAAGCACTTTAGTCAAGTATTCTCTGATAATATTGATACCAGCTTTGTAAATTTTCCAAAAGGTAACTTGAAAATGGCACCCTTATACATTGGAAAGGATACTGTCCTAAAGTGGCTTCTAAGGCTCAATCCTGGTAAGTCCAGTGGCCCTGATGAACTCCACCCACGTATATTAACAGCATTGGCTGAAAGCATAGCCGAGCCATTGTCGGTAATCTTCAATATGTCTCTGGACCAGTCTAAATGTCCAAGAGACTGGAAAGATGCCATCATTAGTCCGGTCTTCAAAACCGGATCTAGAAACTTAGTTCAGAACTATCGTCCTGTTAGTTTGACCAGTATTGTTGTTAAACTACTAGAAAGAATAATTCGTGATGCTATCATTCAGTTCATTGAAGGGAACAAACTTTTCGCTGTGGAACAGCACGGTTTTAGAGCAGGTCATTCTTGCTTGACCAACCTTCTTTTGGCCAGAGAAAGTTGGGCAAGCTCAGCTGATGCTAATATACCGGTGGATGCCATATTCATAGACCTTAGCAAGGCGTTTGACAGGGTTTCTCATTCAGGTCTTCTAGTAAAGTTAGGTAGTCTGGGAATCAATAAAGTGGTTACCGACTGGATTCAAGACTTTCTAAAGGACAGAAGACAAAGAGTACGAGTTAACGGGGTTTTATCAACATGGGAATCGGTTAAGAGTGGCGTTCCTCAGGGTACAATTCTAGGCCCACTTCTTTTCCTGATTTATGTTAATGAGATTCCATCGGTAGTTAAGTCATCCTGCTTACTGTTTGCTGATGACATCAAGATATGGAGGGCTTTGCACGATGACAGTGATCAACTTGCTTTGCAGGAAGATTTAAACTTGTTAAGTGATTGGTGTAAGCACTGGGCCTTGGAGATTAACTTAAGCAAGAGTGTAGTTATGCATGTATCCCATAGTCACGTGCACAATTACTCAATGAATGGCATTACTCTCCCAGTGGTCACTGAGTACAAGGACTTGGGAGTGGTTGTGCAGCATGACTTGAAAACAGCAACAAACTGTAGAACTGCAGCCACTAAGGGTTTTAGAATGTTATGGGCCATACGCAAGGCTTTTGCGAACTTTGACGCTGATATATTTCGTATATTATATCCGACTTATATCAGACCTCATTTGGAATATGGGATCCAGGCAGCGAGCCCGTGTTTCAAATACGAAATAGACTTATTAGAAAGGGTGCAAAGAGTAGGAACTAAGCTAATAAAGGGTTTCTCAACCCTGTCATATGAGGAGAGGTTAAGTCGACTGGGTTTATTTCCACTGTCATACAGACGACTTAGGGGTGACCTAATACTAGCATACCGTATCCTAAGAAATGATTTTGGAGCTAATTTATCTAAATTATTTCTTCCTTCTAGCACCAACCAATTGCGAGGACATCACCTCAAGGTTCAAAAACCACGGTCGAATCGTCTGCGTCTGGAAATCCGTTTTTCGCATCGAATTGTGAACCATTGGAACTCCCTACCGGAACACGTCGTATCAGCGCCATCCGTTGATTCATTCAAGGCGAGATTGGACCTCCTGTATGCAATAAATCGAAAGGATTAACACAGGCATATAGCCTACTATCCTAAATAAATTGTAAACTGTAAACTGTATCCTTTTCCTACTCAATCTAAGATGCATGTTAAAAAATACTAACTGGGATTTATTCTATGAAAGTACATTAGATGACTCAATCACCAATATAATGGATTATCTTAAGTTCTGCCTCGACATATGCTGTCCCAAACAAACTCTGTTCAAACGCCTCGACCACTTATCGTCTCCTCGTCTCAAACAACTTCGCAGGCAAAAAGAAATGTTATATAAATGCAAACACAAGTTAGGACTTAAAAACATTAATGCTCAAATCAAATCTGAAATCAGAAATCTTAGTGCTATCTATAACCAAACACTTTTATCATGCAAATCTCCTATCAGCATGTGGAAATTTTTCAATGAAACTACTGGCAATAGTAAGCGATGTGATGTTTTTCCCTCTTGTGATGTTAATGCTCTTAATCTGTCTTTTATACGCTCTCCTTCTACTATAACCACTTCTAACGTTACTAATCTTGTAGCTGATAACTTCCTGGACTTTAACACTCTTGATGTTTTAAAATGTCTTAAAACTCTTAAGCCCTCACATAGTCTTGGCCCTGATGGCATACCTGCATGTGTTCTAAAACAATGTGCAGATGCTTTATGTTCTCCTCTAACTACTATCCTAAATGCTTCTTTCCCCGAAAACGTTGTACCTGTTCCATGGAAAGACATTAAAATAGTCCCTGTCCCTAAACCTGGAAATAGCAAGAACGTAAAGTTCAGACCCATCGCCATCACTTCCAGTTTCTAAAGCTCATGGAAAAACTAGTACTTCTTAAACTCGAACCCTCCCTTAAAAGCTTCGAAGACCCCAAACAATTTGCCTACAGACAGGGTAGGAGTACTTTAGACGCTGCAGCCGTCTTACACAGCAGTATTGTCTCATCAATAGATAAAGGTGGTAAATATGTCCGCTGCACGTTTCTTGACTTCACTTCTGCTTTCGACTCTGTACCTAGATGTCTCTTGCTAAATAAGCTCTCCATGACACAAACCGAGTCCTGGGTCACTAACTGGTTGCATTCCTACTTTTTAAACAAAATGCAGTACACCGTATACAAAGGCCAATCCTCCTCTGCTGTGCTCACAGAAGCTGGTGTCCCCCAAGGTGCTGTACTCTCCCCACTTCTCTTTTCATTCTTCCTACATGACCTACCGTCTTCAAATGACATTAACTTTGTCAAATATGCTGATGACCTAACTGTATCTTTACCTGTCAAATGTCAAAGTGACTGCTCTAAACTAAATGGCTTCTTATCAGAAATCAGCCAGTGGTCCAGGGAAAACGGTCTCACCTTAAACTCCTCCAAATGCCAAACAGTCATAACACCTTTAGGCATAAATCTGACCTAAACAAACTGGTTAGCACTCACGAGGTGTGCAACATAGATGGCACTGAAACTGAGATCAAGTCGGAAATTAAATACCCAGGCGTCAACCTATCTTCTGATCTTTCCCGGTCGTCTCATATCTTGACGATTTCTAAGAAAATATTCCGTCTTACCTTCCACATCAAGAAGTTAAGACATTCTGGTATAACCCAACCCTGACTCCTACAATTCGTTAACTCTCGCAATCTGCCTATTATTCTCTATTGTTTCCCCTTAGTTTTTCCAGGGCTGGCTACTGAAGAAAGACTATACCTTATTACGCAAGATGTTAAAGGTTGTCAGCAGGGTAAGCCACAGGGTGACATTTAACCAGCTTGTTAATATTCTGGTGGACAGGCACATGGACTCATGTGAAAAATGACCAAAATCCATTTTATCTAACTCACACCACCCTCTTCATTCACAACTCTCCCCTTGTATCTCATCTCATCAGGGAAAACCAGAAGTCTATATAGAAAACTATATGCCCGCACTAGTAAGTACAAAAACTCATCCATACCCTACCTAGCTCGTGTTCTGTGCGATAAAGAAAGCATTAGGCGTGAAACCTTTAACATATTAAATAGTCAGTAGAACAAATAGATCTTGTCTT